AGCCTAGCCTACAGTTTTTGTACAAGTAAAGTATGGTGGCATTAATATAGGTAGGAAAGCCATCCATCCTCTGGATAACCTTGGTTTCTAGTTTGTGGTTGTACAGTTTTATGAAGCTGTGATTATTTTTGGAGGTCACTTTATACAATAAAAAAAGTTTCACTACAATTAAATGGCTACTATGGGGAGGAACATCATCACACATGAATACAACTGGGCTCAGTGAATCCACAAGAGCCTAACTTTGGAGCATTATTTAGCCCAAAAAGTCTTGTGTTACCCCCTATTCTGGCGCCAATGGTTTCCTCATGGGCATGCACAAGACAAAGAAGTGGGGACCTACTCATAGAAAAACAGCTCCATAGCGCCACTAGAGGTCAAAAACTCCACAGCCAACCCAAAAATGTTCTAGTTTTATCCTACATAAAAGTACTTTTTTAATATTTAAAGTGTCAATTTTGAACACACTACCTTACCTTACCTCAACTTTGTCTACTAATTACCTTCATTATATGTAAATAAGTGTTTCTATGGTTTAAAAGTGGACTGATCTGCTGAGATTCTCAAACCATTTATAGTATGATATGCACAAAATTTGTGATTATCGTAATTATTTATTCACAACAGACTTTCTTCTTTTAACCAAAAACGCAAGGCAAAAACACCATTGGAATTCAAATACACTATGGAGCGGAGGTCAATGTTACAATTTGGTGTGTGAGAGTGAATCAGGAATGGTCCTCACAAACAGTTACTCAATACATGTGTTCAATTGTGTTTTTTGTATGTGGACTCACCAGCAGAGACCTCTGACTTCTGTCGTCCCGAGCTGTGGAGGGTCAGGTACAACCGGCTGTTGCTGATCTGCAGCGCCAGTCTCTGGGGCTCCGGGCTTAGCTGCACAAAGAGTAGCAGCCCGTCTGGGTTCCACGTTCTGAACTGGAAACGAACAGAGAAACCCCCTGTGGCAGATGCTGCTGACGGAAGCGACAGGAAGCTGCTGCTGGAACTCAGGAAGGTGCAGGCCACCAGCTGGGGCTGCGAACACGAGAAGGTCACATTGCCCTGGAGGACGAGAGACAAAGGACACAGATTTACATGCGTCTTCAGATACATGTTAGGGCAAGCTGGTTTCATGGGAAATCCATTGTGATATGTCTGGAAATAAATGGGGAACAGATGGTTAAAGAACCATAAGCACAACTGTACCTTTAACCATTTATGCAGAATTATTTATCATTGTCAGTTAATCATCAGCAGTAACTCCACTGAGATGAAAATATTAATTCATAATTAATAATAATTGAAAATGAAAATGTAATCAAATTCAATAAAAAAACAAGAGTTAATGAATAGTTAACATTCTGTTTTTTGTGTAGAGTTATATGAAAAGATCGATAACACTCTTATCTGTCTTATTGTCTTATTGAGTATTATCCAGGAGATGAGATGCTTAGCTTAGCATAAAGACTGGGAACAAGGGAAATGGCTAGACTGGCCAAGCCCCAAGGTAAAAAAATCATCCTTCCAGCAATTTTAAAACTCACTAATTAACATGTTATATCTCAAACAACATATAATGTGTAGAAGCTTTAGAAGTGCTGGTAGGCTGATTTTATCTTTGCACGGGCCTGGCTAGCTGTTTCTTCCTGCTTCCAGCCTTTATGCTAAGTGGCTGTTGACTGTAGCTTCATATTTACTGTCCAAATATGGGTGTGTGTCTGTTTGTTTGTTTAAATATTCCTATAAAAATGTCATGTGGAGTAAATAAATTAACAAAGCATCTCTATATTTTTTTCCATTTCGTCGTCATTTAGCTGTTCCCTGTTAATAAGCCCATGACTCACACCTGTATTTAGTATGTTGTATGTAAAATAATTCATGCCTTAACATTCATTTGACATGTTAAATATCAGATTTATACTGAATGAATATTAACTTTAAGTTGTTCTGAATCCAATGGTACCAAGCATTTGATCACTTTGATAACTCCTTGTAATTTTTGAGATACAGCTATTTCTGTATCATACTGTATTTAGTCATTAGTCTAATTCTATCCCATATATAATTATAAAATGTCTCTAAGGTCTGCACAATGGCAATACTAGACAGATTATCATTTTACTTAATCAATCTATATTGTAACAACCCAGACTATGTGTGGATTAAAAACTGTAAAGATATGTAATTCCTAACCTATTTTTCTTAAGGTATTTTCCTGAAAAAAAAAAGCTGCTAAGAAAAAACGGTGCTGTAGCCTCGTACTTTGACCGACTTGAAACATTTCAATGGATTTGTGCTTTGCTCAGCTACTACTTTAAGTGCTGTAAAGGAAACTATAATTCCACTGTTGACATTAATGGGCTGAAGAGCAATGAATGAGATGAATCCATGAAATATATTTGCTCCAAACCAATATGGTAGAGCAGCCAAGATAAAAAAAAACGCCATTTAAGTTTACATTTCAGTTTAATTCTGTACAGTGCAGAGGTTGTGTAAGGTACATTCAAACACACACATGGTCGTGTCTGCTAAGGTCAGAGTCCATCAGTCCCTGTGCCTACAGGGCAGCACAGAGCAATCACAGCTCTTTGACTCTCAATGTGATTCCCTCCCATCAACGTCAGGGAGATAGTCCCATTGAAATTCCATTACAGCTCCCATCATGACAGTCTCTCTCTACCTCTCCGCCTCTGTTGTCAGTAAAGGCCTTTTAACGCAGCAATCAGACGCTGAGGGCAGGGGATGTCTCGGATGAGATGTGGCTTGTGGCTCTTCAGCCGACCAATCTGATTTGCGTGGGAGGTTGACTCTCCAAATGAATCCATTCACACACTAAGACTTAATGATATAGTAGTTAGGATCACAATGATTGTTTTCACATTATTCTCACCTTCCAATTTCCAACCTGAATGTCTTAAATCCTACTAATCAAATATCGTCACGAATCAGTTGAGAGAAAAATGGGAAACCTCACAGCAAGTATTTTATCCACACTAGTGGCAATGTCGCTATGTCAGTCAGACAGAAATATCTCAATAATAATTGGATGGATTGCCATTAATCGAGACATTTTGTAGACACAGATAAAATTTATTAACTTTGGTTTGATTGTCTGATGCTCATGTTTTTGGTAAACAGTGAGCTGAATGTATTGACTTGCAAAGTTCAGTTAAAACTCAATTAAAACAGAAAAAAGCCAGGTGGAACTTAAGTTTCACATTCTTTTTCCCACAGAGATTTAGCTGATATATTGATTCTCAAAAACACTGTCGATTTTTTGTTGTTTAGTTGCAAAGATTTGTGGCAATGGTTATCTTCATCCATTTGACTCTTCCACTCCAACTTAAAAACTGCACAAAAAGTAGTGTTAAATGTTACAGGGACTGCAATTAATACAAATGCATCCCACTATCCCCTAACCCTAACCCTGATTGCATAAATAAATTAAGCTTTTTGTTTTACTCAGATTTTACGCGTATGACAGTTATATCCTATAACTGGATCGCCATAAATTGCAATATATTGCCTTGCTTACTGTATTGCAATATATCGCAGTATATTGATACAGCCCCTGTATTGTGATATGTATCATATCACCCCATTCTTGCAAACATGCAGCCCTAGTTGGAACTGAACTCACGCTGGCATGGTTCACTTGTTAGTGTCAATCTTTTTGTGCTCGAGTAGTGAAGGCAAGTATACTGCATTCTTTCTACAACCTTTGTCTTATTTTACATAGTTTTGCCCAGTGTTCGTACAAGTTTAAGTTTAGTTTACCATAACATGTTGGAATTTAAACTATGTTGTCATACAGTGGGAAAAAGTGGCACCAGGAAGAGGTTCTGCAATCATCTAAAGGGTATTTACTGACAACCCAAAGCTACCAAGCTGCATTTGGATATTTTCCTGCATACTGTATGTGTGGCTCTTTTATTCATACTGTATATTATTGGCTTATTTATTTAAATCCATATCATTTATTTATATAATATATATACTGTAGACCAAAGAGAGTTGACCTTTTGAGTGAATGGATCAAAAACAGTAATACAGAAGACAGATATGAACATACTGTACATTCCACCCTTGATTCTGCTCTTGAAAGAGAAGCACAAGGACTACAGAGCTCCAGGAAGCCATTTGGAAAAACTCAACCTAGATCTACAGGGAAGCTGAAGAGTTTTCCTGAACTGGTACAAATAGTATTCATCTTTTTTAGCAATACAGCTGACCAATAGGTCAGTATAAATAAATTAGTCATTCAGAAATGCAAAACATATGCTTAAGGTAATTTAGAAAGTGTCACTATTAGCTTTTACCAGATTTTTTTCAACTGGTAAATATCTAGTTCAGTACATTTCTTTGTTTGTAATAATCAAATTTAATATTATCTTTTAATATTCTGTTAAATTGTATTATATGATATCTGTATTTGCTTTGCAAATAGAGTATCAGTCGGGCTTTTTCCATCTAACTCAAGCTCCTTCAAAAGGAAAAGCTGGTACATTTTACAGTACATGTGCATTGAACGCAGGTGAACAAGCAGCTGATATTATGCAAATGCCTACCACGCTGTGTATCTGTGGCTTTCGTCTCTTTGCCAGGTCGATGATGTTGATTCCGTTGTAGTAGAGGTTCTCCATGCAGCCGTGGAAGTTTTTCCTCAAAAAGGTGCCAGGTTTACCAGGCAGCGGGATGCCTCCAAAACTCAGCTTTGATGAAAGGACAACAGAAGAGGTAGAGCCCTTAGCACTAGATGTAGGAAGTGATCCAATATAATAAATAGTATATAAGAAAGTACATATTCATGCATGATATTTACATAAAAAAAATATATAAAATAAAATTATGTACTGTACTGTACCATTTTACAGTACCATCCCCATTGTAAACACATAAGAACCTAAAAATACATGCACACACATATTCTCACCAGTTATGCATGAACAACTGAACTAGTGATTCAGCAAGTAAGAAGACAACACCCACTCACTGGATCCAAATGTACACTGTGGAACAGTATTCTGCTCTGGGGCTGTTTCGTAGTCTGGTCCTCTGGTTCCAACAAAGGGAAATCTCAATGCTACAGCATTTTGGCAAGACCTCTTCCTTATTGCAGAAAGAGTGCTTTCCGAATTTGGTGTGGAAGGACTTGGCTGGGCTGCAAAGAGCTCTAACCTCAACCCCATCCAACACCTTTAAAATGAACTGGAACTCTGATTACGAGCCTTATCGCTCAACATCAGTGCTGGACCTCACTAATGCTCTTGTGACTGAATGGCAACAAATCCCTGCAGCTGGGTTCCAAAATCTTTTTAAAAGCCTTCCCAGATGAGTGGAGGCTGTTATAGTGGCAGATTATTGCCCATGGTTACATCATTATCAGTACCATGTTGGTGTAATGTTTGGGTGTCCACATACATTTGATCAATCTAAGAAAAAGTATGTGTGTTGTATTTTAACATTGGGTGCAATTGTGCAAATTAAGACTGTCCTTAAGCTAAGCCCCACGCCCTTAGGTAGCGTTGCTGTGCCTGTCAAGCTCTCCATTCTTGCATGACATGCTTTTGGAAACATTTAAAAAGATGACAACTTATTTATCTAGTCATAAATTTGTATTATTATTACAGCCATGATAAGTGTTGATAATTATTATTTTTTCTTTTGTTCACTGTTTTGGCCTATTCACCTACCTATATACATTTGTGTGTGTATAAGCATCTGTGTATGTATTATTACATTATCTGTGTGGATGATTGTGGGTGTGTAGGTATTGTATATGTGTATATGTTAGGGTATTTGCCCTTTGGTTATAACTTATCCTGGCGGCCAGGGGGTGGTTTG